GTGAGAAACACCCCCCCCCCGGGACTGTGGCCACACCATAATCCCTTCTCAGGACTTTAGTCAAGCATGCACATGCATGCACACACTCCCAGCATGTTTTACAAGCCACCAGGTCCATGACTCAAGCTGCAGTCAACCCTGTGGGACTCAGCTGCCTTAACTACTGTGCCACCAGCTGGCCCTGGAGGGGTTATTATTTTTTTTTGTTTTTGGAGAGGATTTTGCTATAGGGTATGTGCGCTCACCAGAAAGACAGAGACAGAGAGACAGAAAGCAAGAAATCACCCTCCAGGGTGGATGGCCACGCTGCAGTCCCGTCTCCTCCATTCTCCTCTTGGGATCTTGGGCATGCACACACACAGGCCTGGTGTGAGTTTAAGCCACCGGGTCCGGGACTTGAACAATGGTCAACTACATGGGAGTCCAGCGATATAGCCAACTGCTGGTCCCCCCCCCCTTTTTTTTAAAGAGAGATTTTTGCTGTAGGGCATGTGTGCTTGCCAGAGAGAGAGAGACAGAAAGTGAGAAATCACCTCCCAGGGTGATGGCTACACCATAATCCCTCCTCTTCCATTTTCCTCAAGGGATTTTGGGCAGGCACGCACATGCATCGGCGTGAGTTTAAAGCAACTAGGTCTGTAACTCCAATCATCATGACTACAACAGAGCCCATCATGCAATCTGCTGGTTCCAAGGGGTTATTCTTTTTTTTTTTTTTTAAGAATTATTTTATTTAATTCTATTTATTTATTTACTTATTTTTGGCAGAAGGAGAGTGTTTTATTACTTGTATGTACAGAAAACTCAACAGCATACACTTAACCCAGTTTGGTGGCGAGTTCTAGCCTTAGCCTTTTCCAGCTTTTCAATGCAAGCCACAGATTTCGGGCCCAGGATGTTGTCTCTCCAGTGGCGGCGGATCTCATCATATCTGTCGTTGTCTTTATTTTAATTTGGCCAGAGAGGGTCAGAGTGTAGGGGAGAGAGAGGGAAAGTGAAAAAAGCAAGCTGCCAGGTCTAGGACTCAAACCATGGTCAGCCACGTGTGGAAGTCCACTGCCCTTAACCACCACGCCACCTGCCAGCCCCAAGGAGTTATTCTTATCCTATACTCCTAAAGTGAATTTCTCATTTTGAGGGCCAGAACAAAGAAAAGGGGAAAAAAAGGCATAGCATCAGGATACCACAGAGATATTGGGGATCTAGGGTATCTGTGGTTGAATCTGGCTATTCTTCAGGCCAAGTAAATGTTGGTCAGTTTGCTGACACTCACAAAAAACTTGGAAGATCTGGGAATTATTAGAGATTAAAAATCCTCTCTCAGTTTTCAGTTGCTCCATTTTAGCTCCCGTGGCAAGTGAGATTATGTGGTAAGATAATTTTATTACTTTATTGTTCCCTACTCTTACCAGTGAGTGTTAGCCCCCTGGGACCTTCTCAGAGGTGTAACTTCAGTGGTGGATGTTTATAAGACCTAAGTCCTCAGAAACAAGGAGATAAAGAGATTATGTCTCTAAAAAGCACTTACGGGGGCCAGCAGGTAGCAAGGGGTTAAGGTGCTAGACTCCCACATGGCTGACCATGGTTCAAGTCCTGTGGGAGCTTGCTTTCTCACTTCCTCCTCCCCTCTCTCCATCTCTCTGGTGGAGCACGCATGCCCTATAGCAAATTATTTAAAAAATAATAATTTTTTAAAAAGCACTTATAGCTATAAAGGGTTTGTGTCTAATTTTACCCACTTTTTTCTTGCAGGACTGTTGAAGCCTGGAATTCCCCTCCCCTTCCCCCTCCCCCCTTTGCCGCTTTGTGGCATCCCCCTCCCTCCACCCTTTCCCACTCTGATAATCTGGCCATGACTAGCAGAAGCACGGCCAGGCCCAATGGGCAGCCTCAGGCCAGCAAAATATGCCAGTTCAAATTGGTCCTGCTGGGGGAATCTGCAGTAGGGAAGTCTAGCCTGGTATTACGTTTTGTCAAAGGGCAGTTCCATGAGTACCAGGAGAGCACCATTGGAGGTGAGTACCTCAGGGAAAGAAGAGACCTGACACTGAGTAAGGCTTTAAGGGAGATCTAGGTCTTGAGTGTGGAGTTGGTCCTCTTAGCCCATCCTTTTATCCAGGAGTGGAAACCTTTTATAAAAAGAAAGACAATGCTATAACACCGAAAAGCAGATATATGTTGATCCTCTTTCTTCCTAGGAAAAAAGAGAGGTTGATCTTTTCACACCAAGAAAGTCACTAGTTTTTAATTTCAGTTTGTCTTCCTCCTCCCACTGTAACTTAATCCCAGTGCTGTTCAGTTGAATATCATCTTGAAAAGATCAAAACTGGTTTGGAGCAGTGATTCATAATGAAAGATGTACATCAGAATTACCTGGGGAGCATCTTCAACTTATGCATTCTTGGGCTTTACCTAAATCTTTGCACTAGTATTAGAGGTGAAGTGAGGTTGGGGGTAGTAGTGCAGGCATGTGTGTTTAGGAAGCTCTTTAAGTGATTCTGGTACCCATGTCTGGTAAAGCCAGGCTGGAAATAGTAGAGAGTACGTTTTGTATATTTATGCATCTGCCTTCCCCACTTCCGTTTGCTTCTCCCTGCAACTACTGCCAACATAAGGTGCTGATTCAGTAACAGGTCTTTTATGAGACCTCCCATATTGCTCCTCCTTTTTACTAGTTATCATAGAAACATGATATTCTGGGACCTGCCACAGAATTTTATATGAAAAAGTTAACAGCCAAATAATATTGATAATGGGGGGGACCTGCCATCAAGCTTTATGTCAAATTAATTCTTGGCAAGGCTTTCATCTGAAGCTCAGTGTCTCTGTCATTATCTGTTATTCCTTTATTTCGGCTAAAAGAGGGAAGACTCCAGTATAAGTGCCACCTTTCTCCCTCATAGTTCATGATGTGCTCCCATTCCTTAGCCAGAGAAACTTCTGGCAGGAAGGACTTCGTCAAAGGCAGTCTTAATTCTGGTTCCAGGACTTACCCATAAAGAGAACACTAAATCTTTTTACTGTAGCTGAACAGCCTAAGTGGTGACTGGTTTGATCTGAGAATGGAGATATTATGGAGGGTGGAATGTTCCTGTTTATGCCCCCACTTATAACTTCTTTTTCTCTATTTGCTCATCCATAGCGGCCTTCCTCACACAGTCCGTTTGTCTAGATGACACAACAGTCAAATTTGAGATCTGGGACACAGCTGGGCAAGAGCGATACCACAGCTTAGCCCCTATGTACTACAGGGGTGCCCAAGCTGCAATCGTGGTTTATGATATCACTAATCAGGTAAGTGGGCTGAGAAGACTTTTCTTGCTTTTATAAGAATTTAGTGGGGAAGAGAAAAGCAGGTTCTTGAAATAGAAAATAAGAGTACAAGCCCAGCTTTGGTGACACAGGTCATATTGAACTGCAGTGCTGGAAGCCACATGGCTAACTACAGGTTCGAGTCCCACGTCTCAACACACTGGGGTGGGAGCAGGGGGGAGGTGTGCACATGCACCCGAGATCCTGATGAGCTGGAAGGTGAGGGGAAAGCATAGTGGCCTCTCCCTTATGTGTAAATGTGCACGCTTCATTAACAAAAATAGACTTTAAAAAAAAGGAGTGACCAGCAGATGGCATAATGGTTATATTGCTGGACTCCTACATTGTTGATCGTGGTAGCTTAAAACTCAGGCCAGGCGCATGTGTATGCATGCACAAGATCCCAAGAGAAGAATGGAGGAGAAGAGACTATGGTGTGGCTATCCCCCTGGAAGCGGGGGAGGGTGATTTCTTACTTTCTGTCTCTCTGTCTCTCTGGTAAGCACATGCACCCTATAGCAAAAATCTCTCTTAAATATAAATTAATTAAATAAATAAAAGGAGGGGGAAAAACAATATGAATTGTGCTTCCAAGTGCTAAGAAGACAGTTGTAATGAATCATCAGGACCCTTAGTTTCAGTGAGGGATGCCTGCCTAGAAAATGTGTTTTGAGATGGGTTTGGAAGGTAATCAATGTGGATTGTAGTCATTTCAGCCTATCCATTTTCTTCTTCATGTTTTCCTAGGAAACCTTTGCCCGAGCGAAGACATGGGTAAAGGAACTACAGCGACAGGCCAGTCCTAGCATTGTTATTGCCCTGGCGGGGAACAAAGCTGACCTGGCCAACAAGCGCATGGTGGAGTATGAAGTAAGATGGCCTGTAGAGTCCTGCCCTAACACACTCCTCTTTTTCCCAAACCAGACCTCTCTGAAAAACCTCATCTGAGGATATTCAGTGTCTCGTTCCCCTGTTCTATACCAAGTTTAATACAGCAACACCATGAACCTACTCACAGCCAAAAGATTTTAGAAGAGTCGAAAGACAATTCTAGAGCAGAGGAGTAGGGCAGTACCAGATGTGGGGTACCAGTATGAAACAGGAATGAGGGGACAATTAAATTTGAGGTAAGGGACCATTCAAGTGTCAGATCCCAAAAGCCTCCAACTAACTTCTCCTCTCCCCCATAATTAAGATTCCTAATATCTGCTTGTTGGACTGAATGGCCCTGGGTCTATCTTGAGGGAGTTGTCATCAAATTTATGGGTCGAGGGCCAGCTGGCCCAAAGAGAAGTATTAATTAAAGAGTGGGAATCCAGGATGCTGCCTAGCTCTGATGGCGCATGAGCGTGGAAATGCAACACCTGTTTCCATCCTGCATTCTGAGCACCAGTACACCCTACCCCTTGCAGGAGGCCCAGGCATATGCAGATGACAACAGCTTATTGTTTATGGAGACTTCAGCCAAGACGGCTATGAACGTGAATGATCTCTTCCTGGCAATAGGTAAGGTCAGAGCAGCCTGAGGTATTCTGTCTTTCTCCCTTGTCTAGAGGCAAAGTCACCACTAACCTAAATCAGGGTAGGTGGGAGTGCTCCTCTTTTTTTTTTTTTTTAAGTATGGAAATACCTTCACTTTCCACTGTAACTTCCATCTTTTGGCTGTAGCTTTAGCCCCCTTGTCTTCAGTGTAGTTTGTAACAGTGAACCCTCTTCCCCACTTCAGAACATTCCTTTAATCTTTCACATTTCCCCCAATAGCCCTTTTCTTTTTTCTATTTTTGAGGGGGAGTAGTGGGGAGTAAAATCTGCCATACTTTTTTTCCTTCTCTTTTTATCTCTAGCTAAGAAGTTGCCAAAGAGTGAACCCCAGAATCTGGGGGGTGCAGCAGGCCGAAGCCGGGGTGTGGATCTCCATGAGCAGTCCCAGCAGAACAAGAGCCAGTGTTGTAGCAACTGAGGGAGTGGCTAGCAGCAAACAAGTATGGAGCTAGCACGAGAGCTAAGAAATAACCTCCATCCCCACCCCTCAGCACATAGCCCCTATGGTAACAGCACACCGAGCCCTGGCTCCCAAGGGCTGCCTCCTGACAGCTCCGTCTTGGCACTTTTTAACGCTTCAGCAACCAACACCAGGCAGCTGTTGCCACTGGCCTCCTCCCCCAAACACTGGGGCTTGGGGGGGTCAGATTCCTCCAGGACTTACCTTCCAAAACAAACTTTCTTCACTTTGTATCATAGGTGCAAGACAGTGACTTACTTATCTTTCCTCCTCCTCCTCCCCAGTGTTCCTCCCCATTTTTTCAAAAAACACTTTTGTCTTCTGTCCCTTCCCCTTTCTGCTTTTGGTCAATCCCTGTTCTTGATCCTCTTTTCCTCCTCTCCCCAGGGTGGAGAAGGTGGTGAACCCAGGATGTGAGGAAGGACGTTTCCAATCTATTTAGGGCCCTGGGGAGAGCTCAGCAGCAGGGAGTAAGGAAACATTTCATTATTATTTGGTTGGAGTTTCTCATATTTGAAAACTGCAGTATCCATGGGTTGGCCTTGTAGAGAATGCTCCTAGGTAGAGGCAAGAATGGGAAGGCAAGTTCTCAGGCACCAAGTAGGCTTTGTGTTGTTAGCTAAGAGAGCGGAGGTGCAATGTCATTTGAGGCTGGATCCTTTCCAAGGCCCAGTTTTCCCTGACCCAACCTCTTAGATACTTCTCCCCTAGACTGGGGATTGGACCCAGAGTCCTCCAAAGAATCTTCACTGGTTGCCTGTATCTTTGGCTCTGCTATGCTCTAATTGGAGGACGGAGCAGTTTCTGATACCCATCTTCTGAGTTATACATATTCATTCCCTGCCTCTCCCCACCTCCCATCCCCCACACCGGTCTTTATATGGCCGCACCCCAGCCACCATATTCCCCTGCAGTTTGCACTTTAACTGATGGTAGTTCAGTTGGGATACTTGTTTTATGGGGGAGACTGATAGATTTATCTGCCCTCTCACATTCTGGTTAATTAATAGAATCCGAGGTATAAATGAACTTTTGGGAGGGGTATAATAGAAAAGTACCAGTGGCAGCTACTCAAGCCCAATTTCCACTGCTAGCTTCCTCCAACTCTGATTAACTTACATTCTTGCCAATCTAGCTCTTGAGCATAGGTTTGCCTTTCCTGGAAAATTAACTGAGCAACTGGGTATTAGTCTCAGGAGAGTACAGGCCAAGGCAGGGGAGTAAAAAGGGAGGCGTTTTCTCCTCGCCCATAGTTCTCATTTAATTTGATGTCCATTACCATGTCTGTTCTACTTCCTTGTCAAGGTATGATCTTTACCCACCCTGTACAGTCTGTTCTATTACCAATCGCCCATCAGGCCCTAGTTCTTTTCTCTTTTGCTAGTATCTTAAGTTTAGCCTATTCATCCTTATCCCCTTCCCCGTGTAGCCAGTGATTTAATCCATGTACCACTAGGGACTAGTACCACAGAGGGCTGCGTGTGACCCCCTCATCATACCACCTGTTCCTATGGACAGGGAATGACTAGCACTGAAGGTACCTCACAGATGTTTCACATCATCAGAGGACCTTGGTCCTTTCTAACTCATTAGCCTCTTTTCATATCCCTTATCAAGTGTGTTTTAGGATGTCTGTGGGAAGCCATCAAAGCAAGAAAAATCCTAAGTTTCTCCTTATTGCAGCCCAAAGTTTTGGAAAATTTTGGGGAAAAAAGATTGGAAAGGCCACAGTGACCCAGGATTGAAACCTTTCTGCCCTTTTGGCTTACAGACTGCCTTCTCTCCTAAAGCAGCTGAGAAATCCAGGAAGCTAAGATTCTGGAGGACCCAGCTTAGGTTCTTCCACTTAGGCCTCAATTCCCTTCCTTTTCCAGGGGCAGCCTTAGATCCCATAGCCCTGATACATATATTTTCTCCCTTCATTTAGCAGAACTAGCTGGCCCCCAGGACACCCAGTGCATCCTTTTTACAAGTGGAAGAACTAAGATTGCTCTCTAAGTCTCTTAGAAATGAAGTTCTTTCTCTGTGAAGCTTTCCTGATGGTCAGGAGTGAAAATGTTTTGTTGCCTTGGGGCTGGGAAACCATTTCCCCAGGCTTCTCCCCCCATCCACTCCTTTAGGAACAGGATTGGCCTTAGCTTCAGGGCCCATCTGCTGCCTTCCCTCTATTCCTACCAGCTCCTCTGCCTTCCGTTGAGCTCTGTTGGGCTTAGGGGTCTTAGTTTTTTATTTCCCACTCTTCATTTTATTTTCTGATCAGTTTTTCTAGGGGGAGGGTTTTTTTTTTTCTTTCTTTCTTTTTGCTTCTAAGAAAGCATTTGCCTTTCTTTCCCTTTCTTCCTCTCCCAACATAACAATCGTGGTAACAGAATGCGACTGCTGATTTACCGATGTATTTAATGTAAGTAAAAAGAGGAAAAAAAAAAAGAAAAGTGCATTGGAGTGATGCTTCATTTTTTGCTATTTGTCTGTCTAATATAAGGAATTTGTTAGAAAGGGCACCCAATAATGTTTTATTGACTCAGAAACATACCCTCCCATGTATCTTGGTACCACCTTATTCCCTTTCATCTTTTCTTTTCAGAATCCAATTTGGAAATAATCCTTTTATTACTGTTTAATCATCCTAATTTGCAGGTCTCTAAGCAGCCCACAAATCTGATCCTACCTTTTTCAGTCCTTTTAATAATATACATGTGTGGATGTGTGGTCTGTGGGTCCCCATTGATGAGATTCAAGGGAGGAGTGCTATTTGTACATTTTTTAAAAAGTAATATTCAAACAGTTGTGTGTATTTTTCTACAGTCCACTGCTGCATTTCTCAAAGTGGCCCATGATCTAAAGGTTAAAAGAAAACCACTGAGTTACCTTGATTGATCATCCACCCCCCATGGGAAAGTTCCCCCTAAATCTGCTCTTGACACCTATGGTACTTGAAGCCCTTCAGTCCATCGGAATCCAAAGGAGAATGAGGTGGGGATGAAATAGAAAAAAAGACCACCTATGGTTGCAGGAAGGATTTTAAATTTCAGAGTCTGAAGGAAGTCAGGGAAGAGGACTGGCACCAGATGGACCTGGCATCCCAGCCCTATCTCTGCCAACTTACCAAGTTGTGGGCTTGATCAGGTTACTTAATGTGCTCTGCCTGTTCCTTCATCTGTGAAATGAAGAATAGTTGAGGTTTAAAGGTAATTATATAGCATGTATGGCACACAAGTAGGTGACAGTTACTAGGGAGCAGTCTTACTCCATGGCTTCTAGATAGTCCCTAACAACTCTATCTTCCTGGTAGGATATACTGGGTATCAGGCTTCTCCAGTGATTTAATTTTACAGTTTGGAAACCTTTCCATTTTCAAAAACTTTAGAGCCAAAACCAACTTTTCTTTGTCAGTTTCCCTTACTTTCTGTGACTTAGTACTCTGCCCAGGCGCCTTGATTTCCTGGTAAAAGCTCTAGATAAAGAGCAGGAGAGCAGAAAGGGAAGAAATGACAATCAGTTGAACTAAGGTTGTATCTCAACTTGCTGACCTCTAGAGGGCAGGGTGTGAAAATATTTGCCCAGGTTCTGGCACCTAGGTTTGACCAATTTTCAGTCTCGCGCCAAATAATAAAAGGGTAGTAGCAAATTTATTCCATTGAGATCCATGACTCCAAGATAAGAGATTATAACCTTCGTACCTTGGGATGTTAAACTAGCTTGTTAAAGGGCAATTTTTCTTTAATTACGCAAAATAAAAATGATGGCTATTCAGTGTTGTTGGTTCCATAATTTGGGGAGAAATTCTCCTATTCCAAGAATCTGAAGTCTCAGAATCACTATTTTAGGCTGCGTTTCGGTTCTCATGTAAGAGAACTGAGCGACTGACCTTGCTTTCCCTAAAAGACAAACGGAGTTGTTGCAACACAGGCACTGGTCAAACCCAAGGTAGAGGCGGAGCTCACCGTCCGCAGAACTCGGTTGAATCCCGAGACCGCCTCCCGGGAACGCACCTTCTGTCTCCCCGACCCCCTACCCCCGGTCGTAGGGGCGGCGCAGGGTTGTCTCAGTCTCGCCCTTCTCAGCCCAACCTCTGAAGTCCTCGTCCGTCCACTGCCCGGTTCCGGACATCAGTGGGTCCCACTCCTCGCCCACCGGGTCTATCTATAATGATTGAATTGACGGCTGGCCAATGGAAATGGAAACAAAAACTCGGCGAGCCTGGGCGCTGAGCCCTCAGGACGTCCCACCAGCCTCCTCTTCCTGGAGGCGGCGCCGCAGTTTGCAGGTCGCCTGGGCTCGCCAATGGCTCTGGGATGAGTTGAGAGACGTCTTTTACTCCTCCCTGACGTCACGGCGTCGGTCCCGCCCGTCGCGAGAGCATTCCCCGGCACCGGGCGTGTAAAACTGCGGCGGTGCGGACGCCAAAGTAACGGGTAAGGAGGCTGGAGCCGGGAGAGGGGAGAGGAGGAAGGGCTACTAGGCGGGCGGCGGAGGGGGATTTTGCACCCAGCGGTGTTCCGAACCTCACGGACCATAAAACCACCGATACCTGTCTCCATTCCTGCAACCCAGAGTCGCGGGATGTTGCTACAAGAGCCTTGTGTGCTAGCGGCAGGGCAGTAGCATAGGCCCGCTGCTTGTGAGCTAGACATACCCTTCTACCTAAAGTGTCCCGGGGGAGTGAGCGACCACCACTCGCTCCAAGGCATGCATTTGTCTTGCTGCACCAGGCGCCCCTTCCAAACCTGGAACTCTGGGTTGACCAAGTTCACCTGGAAATCAGCCAATCAGACGTACTTTTACCCATCAGGCTGTTGGAATTGCAGGCAGGTATCAGAGTCAGGGTCCCACGGCTCAGAAGTAGAGAAGACTGTTCCAATTTTCTTCCCTGGTGCTTTCTCTGTCCCCTCCCACAACCCACCCACACCCACAGGCCGGTGGCCACCATCTGTCTCATCAGCGATTGGCATACTTCTCACCTGTCGCCTGTTAGCCCTCGAGATCAGTGCTTTGCCCAAAGCCCTGAGGAAGAAACTACTACAGAGCAGAAAACAGAGAAATTACCTTTTTTCCCTCCAACTCCGTATCCTGACTTTCTGATCATTAACCCCTCAAATTACAGAGCTCCTGGAATGGCATAGACAAGATTGGAATGGCTTAGGGGTTGGGATCCAGTTCCTGCTGCGTTCACTTTTTTTTAAGGGTGGTGAGAAAGGTGGTGAGAAAGGAGGTGACTGAAAGGCCTTCAAAGACAGTGTTATTGTTTACTCTTCATATCCCTTCTGCTTGGTAGATCTTATTTTAGAGAGCTCAGAGAGGTGTGATATCTTGTCCAGGGAACAAGGCTTGTTAATGCAGGGCCCAGTTTCATAATCCCAAGGCACTTTGCCTCCAGAATTTGGACTCCTCCCTTCTATTAGGGTGCTGCTACCATTTTTCACCTTTTTGTCTCTTAAGTCAGTCTGATCCTTTACAGAAATAATAAAGCAGTTGTCCTCTGTTGACTTCAAAAATAATAAACTGGCACACCGGATTGGACATGTTTGGCTTCTGCCATTTAGGCCCTTTAACGCAGGCATTATTCTCTGTGGTAGACAAAGTATTAATAGAAAGTGGAAAATGGGAGGTGGCAATTCTAGAACTACCTGCTCTTTTCTTTACTGACCTATTTTCTTCCTACTCATGTTCTGTTTTTTTTTTTTTTGTTTTTTTTTTTGGCTAGAGGGTGTATGTACTTGGAGGGGGAGAGATAGAGAAAGAGAAAAATCACCCCCAGGAGTGGGGGGAGGGGCAAGACAAATCCCTTCTCCAGTTTCTTCTCAGGATTTGGGGCACACATGCACATGCACGTGATGTATTTTTTAAGCTGCTGGGTCCAGGACTTGAACCACACAGTTGGCCATATGGGATCTAGCTGCCTAAACCTTCACACTATCTCCTATCCCCACCCCCTAAAAAAAAAAAAAAGGGAACGCAGCAGGAACTGGACCCTGACCCAGGGTCCCCATCCCAATCTTGAATAATGACTCCCTATATTGATTCTGGAATCTTCCACAGGTCTGCCACAATGCTGCTGCTGCACAGAACTGTGGTCCTAGGGCTCCGACAGGCCTGCAGGTAGGCCATTCCATCTCATGACTTGCATGCTAGGCCATAACTCCTTCCTGTGTCTTTTTAAAGGTTTATTTATTTTAAGGTTTGTTTTTGCCATAGAGCATGTGTGCTCACTCACTAGAGAGGAGAGAGACAGTGAAAGGGAAAGTGAGAGGTCACTCCCTGACCCCAGAGGACATGACCAAGCCATAGCCCCTTCTCTGTTCTGGGATTTGGGGCACGCATGCACATGTGCCTGGCACGATTTTCAAGCTGCTAAATCCAAGACAGTTTCTTACCACATCGAGATCCCCTTTCTCCAGCCTTTAGTTTGTCAGGATATTGGGCACACATGTTCCCTCCCCACCCTCACCCCACTCCATACTGTTTCAGGTTGCCCAAGGCAGCAATCTAAACCTGCAGTTGACCAGTGGTTTCCAGCACTTAACTTCAGTACTCTACTAACTGTACCACCAATGCTGAGCCTGCCACCCAGATCTTTATGTAATACTTTTTTTTTTTTTTTTAGGAGAACTGCTCACCAGTGAGCGCAGAGCCAGCCTATACTTTTTTAAAATCATTACTTTATTCATGGGGCCAGCAGATGGCATGGTGGTTAAGGGCGCTGGATTCTCACATGGCCGACCTTGGTTTGAGTCCTGGACCTGGCGGCTTGCTTTCTCACTTTCACTCTCGCTCTCTTTCTCTCTTGTTTTCTCTCACACTCTGTCCCTCTCTGGTCAAGCTAAAATAAATAAACAAAGTTAAATTTAAAAATAACTCTTTTTAAAAGATGGTTCTTATTTTATTTATTATTTTGTAATTTGACCAAGAAAGAGAAAGGGAAAGTGAGAAAACAAGCCACAGGTCCAGGACTCAAACTGCAATCAGCTATGTAGGAGTCTAGTGCCTTCACCACCACCCCCTCTGTTGTCCCCTTTATGTCATATCTGTCAGATAAGAGGAAAGGGAAAGCCAGATCCACTTATCCCATCCATCCCTAAAAGAAATCAAGTTCCAATCGAAGGAACTGATAGCCAAACAGGAAGTTAGACCCCAGGCTTTCACTGGTCCCTTCATAATGACCATGTCTGTTGCTAAGAAGATTCTCTCTCTTCCAGACTCAAGTCAACCCCCTCAAAGCTCTGCATTCAGGCTTGCTCTACAAATGACTCATTTCAGCCCCAGCCCCTCAGCCTCACCTCTGGTGACAACTGTGGTACCAGGAGATGGAAAGTCATGGGGACCCTGCTAGGCCTTGGAGCAGTGTTGGCCTATCATGACCATCAGTGCAGGGTAAGTGAGAAAAGGGCTTGCAGAACAAAGGGGTCTTAATGAGCTTTCCAGGCAACCCAGGCCGTGACTCACATCTTGCTGTTACTACAAAACTCATGACTCTATCTTCATACTCAGTAGAGATGGAATCTGCCACCTTCATTTCCAGTGGCCAGGACTGTGGAGTGGGTCACAGTGAACTAGAGTTGTTTTTTTGTTTGTTCATTTGTTTGTTTTACTTTTGCCATAGGACACGTGCTGGAGAGAAATAGAGAGAAGGAAAGTGAGAAATCACTCCCCTTCCCGGGGGGATGGCCATCCTGCAATCCATTCTCCTGGGATTTTAGGCACGCATCCACGCACACACAGCTGGCATGATTTTCAAGGTGCCAGGTCTGGGACTTAGCGCTTTAACCACTAGGCCACCTGCTGGCCTCTAGGGTGAGTTATTTTTAATATATTTTGTTCCTTTTTGCCGTACTCCTCCTTTCCCTGCAGGCTTCTCAGGAGTCACCACGCACATACACAAAGGAGGAAGTGAGTTCCCACAATACTCCTGAGACTAGAATCTGGGTGACCCTGGGCTCAGAAGTCTTTGATGTCACTGAATTTGTGGACCTACATCCAGGGGGGCCATCAAAGCTGATGTTAGCAGCGGGGGGACCCCTGGAACCTTTCTGGGCTCTCTATGCTGTTCACAACCAGTCCCATGTGCGTGAATTACTGGCTCAGTACAAAATTGGGGAACTAGACCCTGAAGACAAGGCAGCTCCCACCTTGGAGACCTCTGATCCTTATGCTGATGATCCTATGCGTCACCCGGCCCTGAAAGTAAACAGCCAACGCCCCTTTAATGCAGAGCCCCCTGCTGAGCTGCTGACAGAAAACTACATCACACCCAACCCTATCTTCTTCACCCGGAACCATCTGCCTGTACCTAACCTGGATCCAGACACCTATCGCCTACACGTGGTGGGGGCATCTGTGAGTCAGTCACTCTGCCTATCCCTGGATGATTTGTACAAGTTTCCCAAGCATGAGATCACAGTCACTCTGCAGTGTGCTGGCAACCGGCGGTCTGAAATGACTCGGGTCAAAGAAGTGAAAGGTCTGGAATGGAGAATAGGGGCCATCAGCACTGCAAGGTGGGCTGGTGCACGGCTCTGTGATGTATTAGCCCAGGCTGGCCACCAGCTCTCTGAAACTGATGCCCATGTCTGCTTTGAAGGACTGGACTCAGACCCTACTGGGACTGCCTATGGAGCATCCATCCCTCTGGCTCGGGCCATGGACCCTGAAGCTGAGGTCCTGCTGGCATATGAGATGAATGGACAGCCTCTGCCACGTGACCATGGCTTCCCTGTAAGAGTGGTGGTCCCTGGTGTGGTGGGGGGCCGCCATGTCAAATGGCTGGGCAGAGTGAGTGTGGAGCCAGAGGAAAGTTACAGTCACTGGCAGCGGCGGGATTACAAGGGCTTCTCTCCATCTGTGGACTGGGACACTGTAGATTTTGACTCAGCTCCATCAATTCAGGAACTTCCTGTCCAGTCGGCCATCACAGAACCCCAGGATGGGGAGACTGTAGAGTCAGGAGAGGTGACCGTCAAGGGCTATGCCTGGAGTGGTGGTGGCAGGGCTGTGATCCGGGTGGATGTGTCTCTGGACGGGGGCCTAACCTGGCAGGCAGCTGAGCTACATGGAGATGAACAACGCCCCAGGAAGGCCTGGGCCTGGCGTCTATGGCAGCTGCAAGCCCCTGTGCCAGCTGGGCAGAAGGAATTGAACATTGTTTGTAAGGCTGTGGATGACAGCTACAATGTACAGCCTGACACTGTAGCCCCAATCTGGAATCTACGAGGTGTGCTCAGTAATGCCTGGCACCGTGTTCATGTCTACGTTGCCCCATGAGAGTATGGAACGGAGCCATCTACATCCCAGAACCACCTTAGCACTTTTTTCCACCCATCCTTTGGCCTATCTCAGAAAAATCTTTCCCTTCTCTCCACTTGTACTGTAGTATGTTTTCCTAAATCATACCCAGGTACACACGTGATACATTTCCACCTAGGCACTAACCTTTTGATACTATGTTACATCCCCCTTGGCCTCTGACCCTGTACCAAGAGGTGAGAGCTGTTAGAGCAAGGGGCTAAATGTGAAAAAAGTAATTTGAGTACTATTTCTCTTCCTAACTCACCTCCACTAATGATGCCTATCACCATTGAAGCCTTATTTTGCTTTTCTTCTGGGATTCTTCAAAGAACATTTATGGTATGTGTCAGAAAAGTGTATGTGCTACTTCCTGCTGCCTCTCTGGGTTCCCCAGGGATTGTGGGGAGGCAAGGGGTACAGTCTCCTTCCTTTATAGCTTTACTTTCCTAATACTTTAATAAAGCATCTATTTAAGACTATGATCAGGGGCCTCCTGGGCCTGGGGAGTGAGCACGTTGCAGGAGGGAGGGTGCATAGGTACTGGGTTGTGGAGTGAGACTAACCCAAAACAAGGTGGGAGGAGGAAAGGAAAATTAGGCACGAGACAGTTGGGCTTCCTTCTCTGGCGACTGCAGATGCAGCTCCGCCTTAATGACTGACTTCAGGAACCCACCTCCCACAGCACAGAAAAAATATTTGGTACCCTCGAACTCCTCTCCCCCAAGATTCCTATGCACTTGGCAGGAAAGGCAAAGGATGCTAAGGTTCAAATCAATATTGTCTCCGGAGGGGCAGGAGCAGAATTTGGCACTAGGGGCGGAGTGTCCCAGGCACTTGGGACATCCAGTGTTCACCTAGTTTGTAAATTACACGCAGACGAAGGAGTGTAGTTGCCCTACCCACGCGACACTACCAATGGGGCTTGGCTATTTCGGCGCTCGGCTACTCTCCCCTAGCTCCTCTCCCTTTCTTCCCCAGCAGTCTCCCCGGCTTCGTAGTGCTCGGTGTTCGGCCACGCTGCCTGTCGCCTGGTAGTGGGACCGGAAGTTGTTCGGGAGGGGGGGAGATGGCTGTAGTTGGG